AGATGTGATTCTTGTGGAGGAGTACAGGTGGGGAAAGGACTTTCCTATTTTATTTTTTAAAGCATCATAGTCTCAAACTAGTCCTTGTGGGGGGGGGCATGTGGGACAGTATCTGGAGACAGTTTGATTTGTCCCACGCGTTGGAAGCGAAGCTACTGTCTCACCTGGAAGGTGGAGACAGGGAGGCCAGGCCCACTGTGGAGAATCACCCAGTTGTGAATATAAGGCAAGGCTGATAAACGCAGCTGTGAGGATAGACCTAGAGACTGAGGGCCCATCCTCATACTTACATACCCCCTCAATGATCTCTCTCATTCATTCATTCATTCATTCATTCAGCAGTTCCTTGACTCGCTCATTCAACAAATCAATCACATTACAACACACAGTTTCTCTTGGACCAACCCAGTAGCAAACCTACCTACTAGGTTATCCGGGAGGCAACCGTGTTCACTGTGCAAATACTTAACATCTGGTGGGAGACAGCACATGTGATTAACGCCCTTCCCCCCCAGCTTACACAAGTCTCTTTCCATCCCCCACCTTAAAATGAGGCCTGTCAAGTATAGCTCAAAAGGCCCTCCCTGGATTGTTATAAGTCAGTTAATAACTTTGAGTGTCCAAAACAAAGAACACACAGCCGGGCGTTGGTGGCGCGCGCCTATAATCCCAGCACCCGGGAGGCAGAGGCAGGTGGATCTCTGTGAGTTCGAGGCCAGCCTGGTCTACAGAGCAAGTGCCAGGATAGGCTCCAAAGCTGCAGAGAGACCCTGTCTTGGAAAAATGGAAACAAAACAAAGAACACACAATGACAGATTAGACATTTCCAGTAAAGTACAGATATGCCAAGCAGTGGGAATGACACCTGAAATCCCATCCAGGAGGGGCTCTTCTCAGCCCAGGAGGTCAATGTGAAACAGGCTCCACAAAGCCAGACCTGGTGGTATAGGCCTGTAATCTCAACTGCTCTGGAGGTTGAGGTAAAAGGATTGAAAACTCAAGGCCTGCTTGGCCTACGAAGTAATTTCAAGGCTAGCCTGAATAACTTAGTGAAGCGTTGTCCCCAACTAGAGAGTAAAAAGAAGGCTGTGGATATGGTTAATGAAATAATATTTGCCTAGAATTGACTGGTGAAGGACTGAGAGTCTGACACCTACCTAGAATCCCCAAGTGAGGGGCTGGGGGCGTGGCTCAGTGGTAGAGCCCCTGCCTAGAATCCCCCAGTGAGGGGCTGGGGGTGTGGCTCAGTGGTAGAGCCCCTGCCTAGAATCCCCCAGTGAGGGGTTGGGGGCGTGGCTCAGTGGTAGAGCCCCTGCCTAGAATCCCCCAGTGAGGGGCTGGGGGCGTGGCTCAGTGGTAGAGCCCCTGCCTAGAATCCCCCAGTGAGGGGTTGGGGGCGTGGCTCAGTGGTAGAGCCCCTGCCTAGAATCCCCCAGTGAGGGGCTGGGGGCGTGGCTCAGTGGTAGAGCCCCTGCCTAGAATCCCCCAGTGAGGGGTTGGGGGCGTGGCTCAGTGGTAGAGCCCCTGCCTAGAATCCCCCAGCGAGGGGCTGGGGGCGGGGCGCC